AAAAAAAAAAAAAAAAAAAAAGAAACTACTCATCCATTCAAGTTTGATCATGAGGTTGCAGCAAATCATTCACATCTTCAGGCTCCACTTCTAATTCTAGTTCTCTTGCTGTTCCTCCCATCTTTGCAGATACTTTCTTCACTAAAGACTTAATCCCTTCAAAATCGTCCATAAAGGTTTGGAATCAACTTCTTCCAAATTCCTGCTAATGTTGACATTTTGACCTCCTTCCATGAATCACAAATGTTCCTAAAGGCATCTAGATCGTGGATTGTTTCCAGAGGGTTATTAATGTACTTTGCACAGATCCATCAGAGGAATCACTGTTTATGGTGGCTGTAGGCTTACAAGATGTATTTCTTAAATACTAAGACTTGAAAATCTAAATTACTCCTTAATCCATGAGCTATAGAAGGAGTATTATGTTAGCAGGTATGAAAACAACATTCATCTCCTTGTACCTCTCCATTAGAGCTGTTGGGTAACCAGGTGCACTGTCAAGGAGCAGTAACATTTTGAAAGAAAATTTTTTTCCTGAGCAACAAATTTCAACAGTGGGCATAAAATATTCACTAAGCCATGCTATAAACAGATGTGCTGTCATTCAACCTTTGCAGCTCCATTTATAGAGCATAGGCAGAATACATTTAACATAATTCTTCATGGCCCTAGGATTTTCAGAATGGTAAATGAGCATTGGCTTCAACTTAAAATGACCAGCTGCATTAGCCCCTAATAAGAGAGTCAGCATGCCCTTGGAAGCTTTGAAGCCAGGCAATAACTTCTCATTTCTAGCAATGAAAGTCCTGATGTCATCTGCTTCCCATATAAGGCTGTTTCGTCTACAGTGAAAATCTGTTTAGTGGGTTCATCTTCATTGATTATTACATTAAATCTTCTGGATAACTTGCTACAGCTTCCCCATCAGCACTTGCTGCTTCACCTTGCACTTTCACATGATAGAGACAGCTTCTTTCCTTAAGCCTCATGAACCAAACTCTGCCTAGCTTCAGACTTTTCTTCTGCAGCTTTCCAATCTCTCTTAGCCTTCACAGAATTGAAGAGTGTTAGGGACTTTCTCTGGATTAGGCTTTGGCTTAAGGGAATGTTGTGACTGGTTTGATTTTCTATCCATCCCACTCAAACTTTCCCCATATCAACAATAAAGCTGTTTTGCTTTTTTTTTTTTTTTTTTTTAAATCATTCATATGTTTACTGGAATAACCCTTCTTTTTTTTTGAGATGGAGTTTCACTCTTGTTGCCCAGGCTGGAGTGCAGTGGCACGATCTCAGTTCAATGCAACCTCCGCCCCCCGGGTTCAAGCGATTCTACTATCTCAACCTCCCAAGTGGCAGGAATTACAAGTGCTTGCCAATATGTCCGGTTTTTTTGGTATTTTTAGTAGAGATGGGGTTTCACCATGTTGGTTAGGCTGGTCTTGAACTCCTGACTTCGTAATCCACCCACCTTGGCTTCCCAAGGTGCTAGGATTACAGGCGTGAGCCATTATGCTCAGCCTGGAGTAACACATCTCATTTCCTTCAAGAACTTTACCTTTGCATTCACAACTTGGCTAACTGATGCAAGAGGCTTAGCTTTCGGCCTGTCTCAGCTTTTGACACGCCCCCTTCCTCATTAAGCTTAATTATTTCTAGCTTTTGATTTAAAGTAAGAGATGTATGACTCTTCCTTTCATTTGAACACTTAGAGACCACTGGCCTAATTTCAGTATTATTGTATTGCAGGAAATAGGAGGCTTGAGGAGAGGGTGACAGAGAAATGGCCAAAGGAGCAGTCAGAACACACATTAATTTTTACTGGAGGAGTGACACATAATAAAGTGAGGTATGCCTGTATTTAAACAACACTTCGACATTTAATCTCAAAACATTGTATCCTTGAATTCACAGGGCACAGTACAGTGCCTGGAACACAGAAAGCACTTAATAAATGTTTGTTAGCCGGGCGCGGTGGCTCACGCCTGTAATCCCAGTACTTTGGGAGGCCGAGGCAGGTGGATCACGAGGTCAAGAGATCGAGACCATCCTGGTCAACAAGGTGAAACCCTGTCTCTACTAAAAATACAAAAATTAGCTGGGCATGGTGGCGCGTGCCTGTAGTCCCAGCTACTCGGGAGGCTGAGGCAGGAGAATTGCTTGAACCCAGGAGGCGGAGGTTGCGGTGAGCCGAGATTGTGCCATTGCACTCCAGTCTGGGCAACAATAGCGAAACTCTGTCTCAATAAATAAATAAATAAATAAATGTTTGTGAGATAAATGAATAATTGTTCAAAGTTAGTTTCTTTTCTCCTTTATACTCTACATAACCTCCTCTGAGTAAAAATTAAAGCTTTTTTTTTTTTTTTTGGGACGGAGTTTCGCTCTTGTTACCCAGGCTGGAGTGCAATGGCACGATCTCGGCTCACCGCAACCTCCGCCTCCTGGGTTCAGGCAATTCTCCTGCCTCAGCCTC